AAAATTTTTTGGATAAAATCAGAATTTTTCCTCAAGTTTGGTCTATTTTTTTAGGTGGGCCCCGAGTATCGATTTACTCGGGTCAAAGTGGTAACGCGTTCTATGCCGCGTTGTGATTCACGTGGTATATTTGGTTGCTCAAAACTATTACCGAGTGAATGGGAAATTGAAGCCAAAGTGTGCTCCATGGAAATGGAGTTTTGGTGAAAATTCCTTAAGGTTGTAAATTGGCTTGTCCCACATTGATTTGGTGGGAAGTTTTGAAAGGGTTTATAAGGCTTAGGGTGAGATACTTGGGGTGTGCCCCAAGGGGTACCCAAGTGTTTTAGAGGGAGAGGTTATGGGCAAAATGAGCTAGACCCATTGGACCCAAAAATCACCACTCACGCGATCAGGCGGGCTGGGCTGGGCCTGGGGTTGGGCTTTTAATCTTTTTGGGCCAAAACATTTGAATTTAATTTTATTTTTTTGTTCATCCAAACAGGGCCCTTCCCGTTTTCAAACAGAATTAAACGAATTTGGATTTATTGCTCATCCAAACAGAGCCCTTCCCATTTTCAAACAGAATTAAACTGATTTGGATTTATTGCTCATCCAAACAGAGCCCTTCCCGTTTTGCTATCTGTTTGAATTCAAAACCAACAGGTATCATACCTGTTCAATTCAAAACCAAGAGCCACATACCTGTTCAATTCAAAACCAAGAGCCACCTTCATATCTATAAATAGGACCACCCTCATTTGATGTTTTTAAAAATTCAGAATTTTCGTACTCCATCCTCTGCAAATTATATTCTTCATCTTGCTGCATTTTATTTCCGAAAGAAATAGTGTAAACACTTAGTGTGTTCGTAAGGCAAACAATTTGTAGTGCTGGTATTGTTTGTGGTAAGATCATTTCATCTTGGGAGATAGACGTCCAAATTCTGAAAGCACCTTGGAGAGGACGAATCTGTCTTAAGGACACAGTGTTAAACACTGGACTTGATCAGAAAAATTATTCAAATAAATTAACCAAGTAAGTTGTTTAATTTTATTCTATTTTATTTATTTATTTAAACAGATTTTAATTTTATTTTTGTAACAAAATAAAATCTGTAGTTTTATTTATTTATTATCATTTCGAGTTTGATTTTTGTAATCAAACAAATTCTCTCCTTTCTTTATTTCTTTATATTTTTGTTGTTGTTTTGTACACAACAGAATTTAATCTATTTAAATACAGTGAAAATTGTCCAGCACGTTGTACTTTACTCTTACATTAATAAAGTTCTTTCTTCGCCGATCAAAAAAAAAAAAAACAAAATTTATGGGAATCATATTTATGTTTTTGTGAAAATTTGCTGCGCACTTAAATTTACGTTTTGTTAATATATGAAGAAAATTTTTAAAAATAACCTTCAAAATGTTGTTAGTGTTAAAAATTGTATAAAATATATATTAAAATGAACAAAAATATTCTAATCTTTTTGGGCCAAAACATTTGAATTTAATTTTATTTTTTTGTTCATCCAAACAGGGCCCTTCCCGTTTTCAAACAGAATTAAACGGATTTGGATTTATTGCTCATCCAAACAGAGCCCTTCCCATTTTCAAACAGAATTAAACTGATTTGGATTTATTGCTCATCCAAACAGAGCCCTTCCCGTTTTGCTATCTGTTTGAATTCAAAACCAACAGGTATCATGCCTGTTCAATTCAAAACCAAGAGCCACATACCTATTCAATTCAAAACCAAGAGCCACCTTCATATCTATAAATAGGACCACCCTCATTTGATGTTTTTAAAAATTCAGAATTTTCGTACTCCATCCTCTGCAAATTATATTCTTCATCTTGCTGCATTTTATTTCCGAAAGAAATAGTGTAAACACTTAGTGTGTTCGTAAGGCAAACAATTTGTAGTGCTGGTATTGTTTGTGGTAAGATCATTTCATCTTGGGAGATAGACGTCCAAATTCTGAAAGCACCGTGGAGAGGACGAATCTGTCTTAAGGACACAGTGTTAAACACTGGACTTGATCAGAAAAATTATTCAAATAAATTAACCAAGTAAGTTGTTTAATTTTATTCTGTTTTTTATTTCTTTATTTAATCAGATTTTATTTTTGTTTTTGTAACAAAATAAAATCTGTGGTTTTATTTATTTATTATTATTTCGAGTTTGATTTTTGTAATCAAACAAATTCTCTCCTTTTCTTTATTTAATATCGAAGCTGAACATCGTCATCATTCATCCTGACCTCGGAATCGGTAATCTATATATGTATATATATACATTTTGAGTTATTTTATTTTAATTAATGAATATCAATAAAAAAATATCACATAAATATACTTCAGAATGAAAAGAGTCACCTTCTAGCATATAGTTCCAAATTCCTAGCAAAGTCTTCTAAATGAATAGCACATAGCCCCAAATCGCTAGCAAAGTCAACGACTTTGAAAATATTTACAGTATATGGTCCACATTTGAAATATTGCAAATTCTTCCTTTGCATGAAGCAAACCAAAATTATACAAAATTATCATGTTAAGTTATTTTATTGAGTTTTATTTTTAAATTTAAAATTTTATAATTGTATGCTATATTAGTTTGTAGTGAAAGTCTATACATTTTTTTTGTAAGAGTGGCATTTTTTCTTCTAAATCCGTTCAATCTTACAATATTTTACAACATAACATCGGCCTTGTTTTCATTTTTATGTTTTTTTTCTTCTTCTATCATTTGTGTTTTATAAACAAAAATAAGGAAAAGTTTGAAAACAAAAATTGTTTTTATATTAGTGTAAAATAAGTAGTTCAAGATTTCTATGGGTAGTTGGATAGGCAAAAATCCAAAAAAATCGATTCACTTGATTTGATTTCAGTTTCTCTATAAATTTTGATTTAAATAATTTTATATTATATTTTTTATTTTTAATAATATTTTTGGACCTACGCATTTTATGGTTGCACTTTTTTGGTATCATTTCTTACTTTTGCATTTTATATTGACAACTATGAAAAATGCAAGAAGACTATTGATGTATGTATGGCTCAAGCTCAATGAAAGTGGAAAAGGCCCAGGAAGGCCCAATAATGAGGGTCAACCTCAATAGCCCATTTCAAAAGGTTATAAAGGAGGAGTAATTATTACCACCACCACCACCCACTCGCTACCACCTGCCCACCTACCTACTACCACCACCACCCACCACCCACCGTCACCACTTTTCACCATGTCTTCCACCGCTACTTGCCACCACTCGTCATTTCTCACTCTTTTTTATATTTTAAATTTTTTTTAAACATTTTGTCAATTACCAAACACCTTTGTAGTTTATGTTTTTCTAAAAATAAACAAAAAATAAACAAAAACCAGTTTATAAAATTTTTGTAAATATAAACTGAAAACGTAAACGTTACCAAACACACTGTAGACGACAGTAATCAGTGGCGAAAAAGGGGGATGGGGTTTAGGATGGGTTTGAGCCCTTGCAAGAATTGTAAGAACTCTATGTATATGTATATGTGATATAGTGATGTACAGCTGTTTGTTGATTCTTGACCCCTACAAAATATATATATATATATCCCACACGAGATAGAAGTGAGCCCAAACATTATTACGTCTTATAAAAATGCATGGCAAATAAGCAATATTTTGTAGTAATATTTTATGGATTTTGTTAATCTATGTTTGATTCACGAATTTGTGTAAGGATTTGAAATGAAAAAATAAAAATGTGTGAGATGTAAGAAAAATAAATAGTTCTATTTCATTCACATTTAATCTATTTTTTTTTCTTCTTTTTCTATCCAAATTCGTGAACCAAACATAGAGTTAGAGTACATATTAAAAGTGCAAGAGATGTATATTCTCAATAAAAAAAAAAAAAGGTACAATAAAAAATATATAATTTTTAAAATTTTTCTTAGCATATAGATGAATGAGTTAACTAGACCCATTTTAATTAGATGAATAAAAAATTAATTCTAAATTTGGACTTTTTGAATTTTATTTTCAAAATTTACCCACTTGGAAAGTATATATTTGAGTTTGATACAATAATTTTTGGATAAATTACAAACACACTCCTTGAGATTTAATTAAAATACGAATTGACCCTTATAGTTCTAGAAATTACATTACATCCTATAAGGTTTCTAATTTCATCATAAATCATCCATTTTATTAAATAAATCATCAAGGTAATTAAGAGTTTTTTTTAATGATGTTAGAAACATGTTTCAATTAATAATTTAAATAATTTTATTATTATATAGGAGAGTAATTATTAAATTTATTTTTTTATTTAATTCTGTTAAATAAAAAATTTTGACAATGAGGTATTTTAATTTTTCAAATCACAATGGACAATTTTTACTTTAAGCAAACATCAAAGAGTGTATTTGTAATTTACCCATAATTTTTTTATTTAGACCATTGTCAAAAGCTTGTTTTTTTTTTTTTTTTTTTGATCAGTAAAAAGAATCTTTATTGATGGAATCATACAAAAGATGATAGAGTACATCAATAAAAAGGAGCTCGGAACTACATTAAGCTCGGAGCTCCAGTTGGAGAGAATCCAACACAAAGAGAAAACCAAAAGACAGAAACATGACAACCAGTAGCATAGAGAGAATTCAACAGATCAAACTAGCAGCATACAAACTCCCCTCACTTTGCTAAGGGTCCACAACTTAAGCATCACCCAGAACAGAAGAAGGAATCATTGTGGTTATTTAACCATTCTAAATACCATGTTACCGCCAAAGCTTTGAATTTTACTGAATCTGAAAGAAATCACCAAACTTGGAGCCAGACTCTTAGATTAGGCAGCCACAGAATAGATTTCCAGCTCACAGCAGAGCAACCAGAAAATGCTACTCACAGCAGAGCAACCTGCTCACAACAAATCTCACAGCAGAAGACAAATCAACCTACACCAAATCTGAATGCTACTCCCACTAATGCCTGCGAACATACCATAGCTGAGCAACCCAGCCTGCTACCACTTAATGCTTGTGAAGACTTCCAGCATTCAGTCTTATCTGGTGCAAATTGGATACCAGATCGTGAACTGAATAGTCCACCTTGAAAAACCATTTTACCCACAGTGCTATTTGAACTTTCATTCTCTCGCTTAATCCTCCAAAGTCTGGTGCAACACCCTTAAACAAACATTCGTTCCTTAATTTCCAAACCGACCACAACACGAGAGAGGGGATAGCCTGCCAAGCTCGAGATATCCAAGACTTCCCTTTACCCACAACCCACCATTTTAGCAAACCCTCCACTGAGCCCGGGATTACCCAAGACTGATCCCACCAACTGACCATGGCTGCCCAGCAATTCCAAACCAGAGGGCAGAACAAAAACACATGCTCCAAAGCCTCCTCCTCACTTTGACAGAACACACATTGGGACACTGCATTAGCAGGAAAGACCCCAATCCTATGTAGGAATGACGAAGTCTTTACTCTGCCTCTCCAAGCCAACCAACAGAAGAATTGCATCTTTGGAGATGCCATATAATCCCACACCCCAGCTGGCACCTTCACACCCGATTGTTTAACTGCAGCCCACCAGCACCATACTGAGGATGTTGAAAACTTCCTAGATTTATCTACAAGCCAGGAACAAGAATCTTCAATTTCCTCCTTGAGTGCAGGAGATGTTTCCAGAAATCTGGACAGCCTCTTCACTTCCTCTTCCTCCCAAGCTAGCAGTCTTCTTCTAAATTGAAATTGCCACACCCCAAGACTCTTTTTTGCACTTATTTGCAATAAGGATTCTTCCTTCTGAGTGGATAGGCTATACAATCTGGGGTAATCCTCCTTCAAACTTCTACCATTATGCCAAGCATCTGTCCAAAACAGAATCCTCTTCCCATTACCCACTGATAACTTTAGGTTTTGATCATAGAATTCACCCATAAGCAGGTTTATTGAGTTGAGCTGCACTATATATCTTTCCACACAGTGGACACCCCATCTGTGCTTTCCAGAGATGGCACCCAACCCCTTCCAAATCTACCATATTTTGAGCATACCACCGATTTCCACAAGGCTTTATCCTCTGCACTATATCTCCACCACCATTTTAGCAATAGACAGTCATTCACCTCACCCAAATCCCTCGTTACCTCACCCCAACTTACCAAATGAACACTCCTCTTTGTATCTGATCCACCCCACAGAAAATTGGACTGAATCTTGATCAAAGCCTTAACAATCCCCTTAGGCATTTTGAAAATGGAGAGAAAGTAGATAGGCAAATTAGAGAGAACTGATTTAATCAGGGTCAAACGCCCAGCAAAATAGAGTAGTTTTCTTTTCCAAGAAGGCAACTTCTTTCTCACCTTGTCCACTATTGGACTCCAAGTGCTCTTCCTCTTGGGATTGGCCCCTAGAGGCATACCTAAAAAGTTGAAAGGTAATTTCTTAGAGATACAATTCAGTCTTTGAGCCAAACCCAAAATTTCCTCCTCTTGAAAACCCACACCGCACACTACACTCTTATGATAATTGATTTTCAAACCGGACATCACTTCAAAACACCTCAACACCCTCTTAATATTTAGCACCTCCTCCATACCACCTTCACAAAACACTATTGTATCATCTGCAAATTGAAGATGTGAAATTCGCAGATCATTACCTCCTACTGAGGCACCTCTAAACAGGCCTATCCCCACTCCTAAGCATATTCAGTTTTTTCATCACTCTAAACCCAGCCCACCCTTGAACTTGAGCTTCCTCCCACCTCTTTTTGACTTCTGACATGAATGATTTATGAGATAACCAGCCATTTATAAATTTAAAAGGTTTTGGACCCCAATCCCTATCATCCTCCTTAATCAAGATTGGGCAGTGGTTAGATATTGACCTAGGTAGACCCCATTGTTTAAAAGAAAACTTTTCCATCCACTTCAAGTCTAACAAGAATCTATCAATCCTACTCCACCTATTCTCATCCAGAGCATTGCACCAAGTATACTGCCTTCCTAGCAAAGGCATATCTGTTAATTCCAATTTTTCCACTAACTCATTAAAATCCTTCATCCCTCTTTCTCTAGATGAACAACCTTTCCTCTCACCCATGTATCTAATTTCATTAAAATCCCATCCCACACACCACGGATTTGGAAAATGTTGATGGATCCTCACCAGAGAATCCCACAGTTGTCTCCTCTTTATTACCTCATTAGGAGCATAGATATTCACCAGAGTGCACTGAAAAGTATTAGTAGACATACCTGATAGAATAATGAAATTTTTGCTACTGCAACAATCCTTGAGCTTGAAGACTTGTGGCTTCCAAATACTTATGAGGCCTCCTGCACTACCCTCAAAGTCAACCACCATAAATTCAACTTCTTCATAAAGCCAGATTGTTTTCACAAAATTATCATCCATAGAACTTCTTTTAGTCTCCTGTAGAAAGAGCACATCAACACTTCTATCCCTCACCAGGCTTTTTGTTTTTCCCCTTTTTTCTAGCCTTCACAACCCTCTAACATTCCACGATAAAATCTTCATAATAACACACTACTGATACCCATTCTCCTATAAACAACCAGCTAAGTTCTGGTTGCCCTTTGTTCCTCTTCAATTCTACTCAAGTCCTTCTCTTCCAGCTCCACTATTCTGCTCACTACCTCCTCCTCTTTGCCTTGGCAATCCATTCCCAACATTGTGCCTACTCTCACAGTTTCCTTGGCCTCGTCAATCAATTGCCTCCTTCTACTCGCTGTCTGACTCTGATTAGTGGCCGTTAGGTAAGCTGCTACCTCTGCCGAAGCTCTAAAAATTGCTCCCCTCTGAAAACCCAGTTTGCCAAACACCCCTCTCCCTCAGTCCATTCCTTTCTTCCAAGTCTTTCCCCTATTCTGCACTGCCCCATCCTTTATATTACCCACTTTTGCAGTCCATCGGGCTAAGTTTATCTGATTTGTTTGGATTGCATTAGGCCTAAGTTGAGTTCGGGCCATATTTTCACTCAAATCTGACACCACCTCCTGCACCATTCCATTGGGCTCTATCCCCAGCTGCTTTCCTTCAATTACTACTTCTAAATTTATAGTGGGCCTTGCTTCTACTGGCCCACTTAACTCTTTTAAAAGGCCTATGCTACACATTGCCTCATCTCTAACTTGAATTTCGTTATGATTTAACTTGGATGAGTTGACCATCTTCTCCACCCCCCTAGCCTTGGAACCTGCACCAAAATAGCCCCTCCTCACGCTCCCCCCTACAGCTACCACTTTGTTTGCTTGCTTTCCATCATTATCCCTACCCTGTTTTTCAGAACTGTCCATCACAGTCTCCTCTACCCTACTAGCCCCCTCAAATCCATCACTATCCAACCCCACTCTTCCTTCAGACGCTGCCCCAGCATACTTGTGTAGACGTCCTCAAACGCCCTGGAAGGGCGAGTCCCCCCCGTTCTGTTCATGTTGGGCTTACTACAGTTCAGGACTCTCAAATTGTCACGGTTCTAAATCTGAACCAAAGAGTCCAAATCCGACATATCGTTTTGAGAAAACAGATTTTGAAAGAAGTGCCAAACATGGACTGCTTTGCCAGATACAGATTTATTTTGGAGAAATTTAGGAAACCTTGACTCATTTGCCTAAGGCCACGTGTCCGTCATCACCAAAGTTGCCTCGGCTCGGGAACTTGGGTACGATTGGAGAAGGTCACTTCGTGAGCACCCCCGCTCGCCCGATCAAAGATCGGTTTCTACTAACCATGATATCTATTTTTGAAAACATTATGCATTCTTATTCCGGTTATTAGCCTAGATTTACTATGTGATGCGCACAGCATACAAGTATAGACTGGATCGCCTGAATTGGAATAAAACATTTCATGTTTATGTTTTAAAGTAGTTTGATGGTGCTACTCGCAAGTAGGCTAAGACGTGGATTTGCCACCCTCGGGTGAGCTTAGAAAACATGATTTTGCCACTATCTAGTGGGCTTAAAACACACATTTGATGAATTGTTCAAATCCAAATAACCCAACCTCCACCCACAGGCATTCAGGCAGTTATATCAGGCAGTTATATCACATAAGCAATTAGCCTCATGGTAAGCATGCTATCATGGCAGTCACTCACACACATGCAAGGATGCTAAAGCATAAAACTTACCAAGTACTCCAAGCCAAAATAAAAGCTAATTAGAAATCCATGCATGATCCTAATTATACAGAAATGCCTAATGCAACACATGCAAAAATACAACTATAGTAGGCTCGGCTATTCTAAAGATGGCATATGAAATGCTACAGCTAACATGTATTCAATTTGGAATTGAAAATACAATGCAGTTAGTATGATGCACCAAGCCCGGTGCGTGCAAAGCAGATGAATGAATGCAAACATGCTATCATATTGTATGCTAATTGAAACATGCCCTAATCTAACCATCATAAGTGGATAAATAAAAAGGAGAAAGACGTGGGGTTGGAAGACATACATCACACACACGCACACTTATTACAGTTGTGCCCTCGCGCAGAGGGTCCGAATAAATAATACAGTCCCAAATGAATAATTACAGTCCGAATAAGTACAAAACCCTAATTAATTAACAAATTTAACTAGGAAAGCAATAAATTGGCATGCAAGCCAGGGACTGCCTCAAATCTGCTTCGGATAATGAATGATGCATGCTCGGGTTGCCTTGTGCAGAGAATCCCTCGCGATGCCCCGGTTTGCCTCTGTTTGCAATTGTTCTTGGAATGCATGTCAAGCTCCGGAAGGCTGCCGATTTCTGATTTGCTGCAACAGAGAGCAACAAAGGGGCATGGCAAAGTATTTTCACATATGTATTCATGACTACTCTTCAGGGAGTGTAGTCCTCGATCTTCGTGCCACCAATCACGCATATCGATGCATGATGGCCGAGGAGTCGAATTGCATGACTCAATATAAAATGAATGCACATATGGACACAACAGGACCTAAACTCCATCATGGATAATCCGGAGTGTCAGTGACTGGGAATTGAGACACGTTCCGTCACTCGGAGTACGAAACGTCCCTCGTTTCCCGTGCTCGGGCTAACTCCTATCCCAAACATAATGTAATATGCATGACATGCATGGATGCAACTAATATACAACCTAGCATGCACAACGCTATGAAATGGCATACACGATGCACGAGATAACATGGCATACACAATGCGTTAACATACAACCTAGCATACGCAATGTTATGAAATGAAATGGCATACACAATGCACAATGGGCTTACACCAACATGAGTGGGCCTCGGCCACACTCAAATCAGTAGCCATGAGATGAAAAATGAGACTCTCGAAATGCATGCACACATGCACGCAAATCGAAGACCAATCCTAAGGCACAAATGCCACTCTAACAAGATATGGCAAGGCATGGAATATGGCATAAAAACATGTAGGTTTCAGCACTGAAATGTGATGCAAAATGATCTCAAAACATGGAAACATGGCACCCGATGCATGGAATGGCCCCGAAACACAAAACTAGGCATACGCATTGGCCTATAGCTATACAAAGCATGCATTATTTGATCATGAAGCATGAAGACAGATGCAAGAAAGTCCCAAAACATGCATATTTCCAGCTTATAACAAGTCCCAAAAATGAATGCAAATAGGGCTAATCTATCATGCAAAAATGGCCCTAACATAGAGATTAAACACAAAGGGACAGCAACTGGCCCCAAATTGCAAAGAGACCTTAAACAAAGTTGAAGAGGGGCTCAAAAAAGGGTACTTTACAGTTTACATCAATCCACGAAAATAATCACAAATAAGGCCAAACTATCATGCAAGAAAAAGCCTAAAATGGGGATAAAGAGACAAGTGGCAGCTGCTGTTCTCAAACAGAGGAGAGCCCTTCAAAAATATTGAAGAGGGGCTCAAAACAAGAGGTTTTACAGTTTATGAAAAGATTCAAAACAGCTCACAAATAGGCCTAAAGTACCATGCAAAAATTGGCCTAAAAGGGAGATAGAGAAGAAAGTGATAGCAGGAGGCCTCAAACAGAGGAGAGCCCTTGAGCAATGTTGAATAAGGGCTCAAAAAAATCTATTTTACAGTTTATGGAAAAGTCCAAAACAGCTCACAAACAGGCCAAAAATACTATCCAAAAATAAGGCCTAAAAGAGAGTTAAAGAAGCAAGTGATAGCTGCTGGCCTCAAACAGAGAAAGACCCTTAATCAAACATGAAAAAAGGCTCAAAACATGACTATTTACAGTTAGGGTCACAGCCCAAAAATGCAAGCAACTAAGGCTTATATACAAAGCAAAAAAAGACTAGAAAATGGATGAAGGTGACTCACCCTTGTAGACCAGTGCTCCAACAACTTTTGAGCCAAGTTTGGGAGTTCTTCACCTCTGGAAAGTAGCCTCAAGTTGCTGGAATGGAGGATGGAGGCCTAGTACTATGAGATGTAGGGTAAATGGTGTAGGGCTAAGGGTGTTTTGAGGCTTGGAAGAGAGGGAGAGGGAGAGAGAGAGTTGTATGCAATGGCCTTAAACCAATTTTGTAACCCCTCAAAATGCAGCTGAGGGGCTGGTTATATAGGCCAAGAGATTGAGTGCAAGGGCTCAAGACCAAAAATTTGTAACCCCTAAAATGCAGCTGAGGGGTTGGTTATATAGGCAAAGGAGGGGAGGAAAAGGGGGAAAAATGAATTCAAATTTCCCCCCAAAAGGGCACCCCTCCGAATACAGGATCTGGGGGGAAAAAGAGGTCACAGTTGGAAGGAACAGGGAGTGGGGGTCATGGCTGGCCAGTTTTTGGGGGTTCAGGTGGTCGGCCGACCACCTCCCATGGCCGGCTGACCAAGGGTCAAAGGGTTCAAGCAAAATTACTGGTCGGCCACCTCATATTGGTGGTCTCCCATGTGTGCACAACACAACTATGTGATTGAAACCCAAAAAAAGTGAACAAGGAGAGAGAAAAGACCATTTTTTAGAGGGGGTCAAAAGGGTCAGGAACAATTAATGGTTGGCCACCAAATATTGGTGGCCTCCCAAGTGTGTACATCACAAATATGGGGTTTAGGGTTCAAGAAAGTGGCTCCAGGGTGGTCAACAATGGCTTTCAAGTGAGGAAAACGGGCGTCGGAGAGCAATGAAGGAAAAAAAAAGCTGGCTTTCGGAACAATTGCTGGCCTCCCACCCTCCTACAAGCTTCCTAACTATGAAAAATAAGGTCTCCACCAAAACTGAACCAAAACGGATGCAAAACGGAGGTTCGGGGACCGAAACGCGCGGCCCGGGGCCCCGAAAATGGGTTGTTAAGCACCGGAGGTGGCGTTTGACCACGAAGTTGGTCTCTCGGGCGGGGGACCGAAACGCGCGGCTTGGGGCCCCGAAAATGGGCTGTTAAGCACCGAAGGTGGTGTTTGACCACGAAGTTGGTCTCTCGGATCCCAATGTCCCTCAAAAGGGAGGAAATAGGATGTATGCCAAAAACCGGAGCAAACGGAGGTGGTTAGGCGGTCCCGAACCGAGGCATACGGCCGTCGGCTCTGAAAAATCAGAAACCGGGCTTCAAACGGAAAAAATGGCCTACGACCACTAAATGTAGCCTACGGCCACTGAGAGATGATCTTTGAGACCTCTCCCTCCCTTCGGGAAGAGAAAACAGAGAAAACAGAGCCTGGTTTGTAAACCGAGA